AATGGAGAAAGTAGAGTGAAGAGCTACCTCAAATGGCTCAATTCTCCATCTCTCGTTACTTTTTCATGCCCTCGAACATTAATGTCGAAAATCTCAAACTACATTGCTTTTCAGATGCAAGTGTCAAAGCCTATGGTACAGTCGCATATTTATGTTTCACGACAGAAAATAAAGAAATCAAAATGGTCTTTGTCTCTTCTAAAAATAGGGTAGCCCCACTAAAATACCTTACTTTACCGAGGTTAGAATTAATGGGGGCATTATACTCAGTTAAGTTAGTTAGCAATATTCTGAAAGCACTGAAATTGAAAATTCCGTGCTATTTTTGGACAGACTCAACAATTACTTATTTCTGGATCCAAACACAACCTGAAGCCTTCAAACCCTTTGTCAAGAATCGTGTTGAAGAAATACAAAAATTGAGTTCATCTCAGGATTGGCATTATTGCCCAGGTGTCGGCAACCCTGCAGATCTCGTATGTCGGGGAACGAAGATTTCCAAGTTAATTAAAGAGACCATTTGGATGCAAGGTCCCCAGTGGCTTCAACTCCCTCACGAACTTTGGCCAAGATTAGATATTAAAGAAACAATAGATGAAAACAAACTGGAGTACCGAAAGGGATCCGGTGATATACATCAACTTGAATGTACACTCGAAAAAAGTACAGATGATCTTTTCGACATATCAAACTATAGCAAATTAGAGAAGGTGTTAAGAGTCACTGCTTGAACAACACGTTTCATTAAAAAATTAAGAAAAACTAGCGACATTCAAGAAACTCTCACAGCTGAAGAGTTACAAGAAGCAGAAAATTTCTGGATAAGGTCAGAGCAAAAGAAGTTTTTTTTGCTGAAAGAATATAAATCCCTCAAAGGAAGGTAATTCGGTTGGAAAAAAATTCTCCTTTGTACAATTATTCTTCCTTACATTGATGAAAAGGAAATCATGAGGTTGAGAAGAAGATTAGAATTTTCTGACTTCTCACTAGATAATAAACATCCAATAATCCTACCTAAAAATTCCCAACTGATGATACTAATTGTATGCAAAGAACATGAGAAGATAATGCATGGAGGAATTGCTGCAACTTTAGCTAAAGTCAAATCACGCTTCTGGATTCCTAAAGGACGACAGTTAGTCAAAAAAGCATTAAAAGGTTGTATAATTTGCCAAAAATATTTAGCTAAACCAGCAGACCAGATGACAGCACCCTTGCCAAAGGATAGAATCCAAGAATCACCTCCATTTACAGTCTGTGGAATTGATTTTGCCGGACCAGTTTTACTTTAAAGAATTCTAAAGACTCTCGCAAATTCCTATATTTTTGTTTCGTTGTTTTGTGCATACCCCCGAGCTGTATACTTAGAAACTTGTATCAGATATGTCAATAGAATCCTTTTTTACTTGCATTTCGTAGATTTTTTTAGCAGAAGAGGAAACTGCGTAATCATCTACTCTGACAACGCCAAGACCTTTAAGAGGACAAAGAAAGAACTTGAGAATTTTTCAAAAGTTTTAAAAGATGACAAATTCAAGAATTTCATTGAAAACGAAAGAATCCATTGGAAATTTATAATCGAGCAAGCCCCACGGTGGGGAGGGTTTTATGAGAGACTTGTTAAATCTGTTAAAGAATGTTTAAGAAAAATCGTAGGAAAAGCATTGTTGACCTTCGAAGAAATGTCTACACTACTTGTCGAAGAGCAGACAGTTCTTAATTCACGACCTCTAAGTTATGTTTTAGTTCTGGTGACAATGACGAGCCGCAACCCGTTGACTCCAATGCACTTCCTAAACATTGGACAAACTGATTTGTAAGTATCCTTCGACTTTTGCTAGAATCATCGGTAGGGAAACGACAAGAGAAACGCTGTTAAAAAGAAAGCGTTATCAAGAAATTGCTGTTAAAACAGCTGTGGTGTAAATATAAACAGTGGGAATGGAAGTAACAATATTTATTAGATCTTAGAACTGCCCATTTTTTGAAGAATCCAGAACTAAAAGTAGGAGATGTTGTTTTAGTTGAAGGAGATAATAAAAACAAACTGTTATGGAAACTTGGTAGAATCATAAAAACTATTCCTGGACGAGATGGTAAAGTCCGATCATTCGAATTAAACACTGGTAATGGGACTTTAAAACGTACTGCTCAACATCTATATCCTCTTGAACTTTACATATTTTGAACTTTAACGATTTAGTTATGCATTTTTTCTTTTTTTTCTTATTAATGATTAAATTGAATATCATTAGTTAAGCTGAAAATACTTTAAAAATTTAGTTCATTTATTAGTTAGTTATAACATTTAATATTTGATACATGTTGTGTATAACCTTTTCTGTAATTGAAGTGTTTGACTAATTAGTATTTTTTGTATTTTAATAGAATAGTGATTTATGTACTTAATTGTATGTATAACTGAGTTAGATGAACTCTTGTCAGAGTTCAGGTGGGGAGTGTGTTAAAGAATATTCTTTGATATTGCCAAGAGATGGCGTTAGGAGTCCATCTATTGGCTTACTTAACCCTTCCCCTTCTGAACACGTGACTTGGAAAAATATTCTTCTTGTTGAAGGTAGAAATTCGATGTACAAGCAATAGAATTCGATTTAGATTCTTAGATGGAACTATTCAGTTCTTGCTTTTTGAGCCTTAAATATTCAATTCAGGCATTTTAGCCTACATTGTATATATGTTTATATTAAGTTTAGTTAAAATTTATGTAAAACCCTCCAGGCCATGTATCTCATTTTGAATTATGAGCCATTTGACATTTGATCTAGAACCTTTTGTTTCAGTTTTTCTTTTGTATGGCTCTATACAAATGGATTCCAAGCTGAACACATAACAGTCACTGTTGTCTGCCTATAGGTAAACAGTGTGGACTATGAGTGATCTTGATTAGGACAGTAGAGACTATACTTTTACAGATAATCAAGTTCAGGTGCCACTTTTGCACAAATAAATCTTTGGCACTATTTAAATAATGAAGGCCATAACAATAAGAAAGTATTAAAAATATTACAGTATTTAAGCTTTAACTAACTCGCATTGAAAAATGTTTAAGTACAGGTTAAATGCACTTCCACACCAATAAATCATTCCCTGAAAAGTGAAGTGACCCTGAAGTACTCTTAACTTACACCATCAGGGAAATGATTTTGAAAGGCAAACAGATATACTAAAACGGATGCCACCACAATAGATATGGCTACACCAGAATCAAGTGGCAGAAAAAATTTTGACTAATCTTTGGAATATGGTAACAGGTAGTTTGGCGACATTTTGGTAATGCGATAAAGGTTGTTTTCTCTTAGGCAGCCCAAAAGAAAAAAAACTTATTCTTGCCAAAAAGGATTTTAAATAAACATATGTTACAGGATGTATAGGGCCAGTGCTAGATCCCCCCCCCTCATCTGGGTACAGTATCTGTATCGCCTAGACTCTGCTGCGCAGTGCCTTCATAAATATTAAAATTTTGGTTAATCTTTGAATTATGGTAACTTGGCGATTTTTTGGCGAAAATTTGGCGACCAACCCTGCTACAGCAACCTGCTAGTTTTTGTTTGGACGCCATTTTGTTTTCATGAAGTAAAGGCTTTTTTTTTTTTTTTTTTTTTTTAACTCAACACTTTTTTTCCAACAATCCACTAGCCGAATTACGCTTATGCTAGAACTTTTATGGTCAAAAGTGCTTAATCATGACGAAGATTAGGTGCGAAATTCGGAGAAAGTGCAGAATCGCAAACTGCTTGTCGCGTTTTTAAGAATTGCACATACACGGTAACCATGTACACGTCGACCTATTTTCACTTAAATTTCACTTTACCAAAATGTCGCGAAACTACCTGTTACCATATTCCAAAGATTAGCCAGTTTTTTCTGTCTCCTTCTTTACACTTTTGATGTATAACATTACCTTTCAATCATAATGGACATGTCATTTACACTTCAACTGATTATCCAGAAATGACAATTTAAGCAAATAAAAATGAAAATTATTACAATATAAAAAATACAGGATCCTAAAAATATGATACTTCAAATTATTTAAACACATTATTTAACTGCATGATTCATTAACAGTACAATTTTAGAGATTTCACGAGTATCAGTTTGTCTGCAAACAATAAATACTGTCCAGTTACCACATCAAATATTCTTTTCTTAATACCTAACTAGATGCACTACATACACGAATTTAAATTGCAAGTCTTATGATATCTGATTCACATGTATGGCACTTGAATACATTCTCATATTACAGATTACACAACTTTTCTGTTTTCATAAAAGCTAGTTTTTTAACTTCTTTTTTATTATTTATCCTATCAGCAAGCTTAAACACAGATGCATGCAACTTTAAAAATTTCTTATTTATGAATATTTCTTACACTAAAGCTTGCCCGTATATTCGTATAGTAACAGCATAGCGTTTTCCAATTATGTACTTACTTAAACAACGTTAACTCCATTAATTAATCTGGTGATTTAAATCACGTTTCATGTTTTAATTCCAAATTTGGTGTTATATTAATGGAAAATGAATTTTAGTAAGAAGATTGAGTTTACACTTCAAAGTTTACACATATAATTACGCAAAAATATATGAATAAAATGCAGAACAAGTTTTGTCATTGTATTAAAATTCTTTTGAGCACTGCTCTGACTAAATGAACATTACAAACAGTAACAGCTTTGACAATACCAGAAGATATTTTGGGGGGAAATGTAATTATTCACGAACTTACTAAATAGTGAAGTTAAAATATACGAACACGAAAGACATAATTTGACTAGTACTGGATTACAACAACTTTGGACGCTGTTCAATGTGCTAAAACCCGTACGTTGGAACAGCAACACACCTGATGAGTAATAATTATACATTATTAATCTTAAGATAAAAAATATTAGTATCGGCCATTATTACAATATTATTTACGCTCTCAAAAAATCCTAAATAAATGTGACTTTCATCAACACAAAATACTCACAAAATTAAATCTTGATTTCAGCCTTTCGCACTTCTACGTACTAAAGCAACGAATGACCAGTGAAGTACATTGTTGCCATTCAAGGTAAATTATGTGCCGATAAAAAACATTCTACTGTGAAGAGCGGAACACTTATTCAAAGCCCCTGGTTTTTAAATATTTCTCAAGGTTGCTTCAAACTAGTTTTTGTATAGGCTACATTAATAATCATAATAATAATCAGCTTTTTATCCGCCTTGTGCACCTAACAGTGGCTTTAAAATTCAATTCCTGCTTCACCTTTTTTCGCCTCTTTACTTTTAATCTTAATGATACTGCTATTCCTTATGATTTCGCCCAATTATCAGTGCTTATATCTTCATTCTCGAGTGATTCGTTTCTAGCTTCGTACCTCGTAGATCGAAACCTCTATTTATTTGAACGATGGGAAAATTTTGGTGTAGCAGCAGGGTGCCTACCCAACACCGACTCTACTACAAGCTAAGGCTACTATAAGCCAAATGGCTCTACTACAAGCCAAATGGCGGTTTTATGACGTCACAAGTTGTGGTCATCGGGGATTTGATGCGTCGTCCGTTCTAACGAACGAAACGCGGTTGTATCACTATTTTACAGTGTTCTTTTGTTGACATATTTGTTGGTCGATTCCGACTTAATTTTGACAAATATGGGTGGATGTGTTGCATCAAATTGTTCCAATCATTCAAAAAATAAGTTTAGGACGTTTCGCCAAAAATGAAGAAAATGGATAATTAATTCTCGTCAAAATCAATGGATTCCGGTCTCAAAAGCATGTTTTTGAGGTAAGTTTAGCTTCGAATTTTCTCATAGAATGTTAGAATAAATTACTCTTCGTATTTCTTTAAAACGTGCATTTTCGTTTAACTATCATTTATTAATGATCAAATGATTTTATAAATACAAAATAAACTGCGGAATGTGTGTGTGTTTGTGCAGTAAATTATAGCCGATACTGTTTGTGATGTTTCTTTTATTATCGTTTGTAAAATTGTACACTACATTTCATGTAAATTTTGTGCTTGGTTAGAAATGTGATATGACTTTTCGTGTTTCAATTTTACTCTACGATTGGTAATTTAAAGTCGCATGCTATATTTTTGATGTATTGTCACCAAACCTGTTGGTTTGCACCTTTGTTAAAAATTGGATACATAGTTATGATCTAAATTATAAATTATTTAGGTTTTTCGTTATATTAAGATAAATAAATTGTGTATTTGTCTAGGCATTTTGAAGAAGTATTAATTTAAATATTCTATGCATCATTTTGATCCTATTATCATGCTTTTATGTTATAGTAAACCTTCATGTTGTATTTCTAACTATAGTTACTTTAAATTTATTTTCAATGTGTGAACAGGAAATATGTTTTAATTAGCAGTATTAATTAATTAATTTTGCAAATTTAGGGGGGGATTTAAAAGTCCTCCTGAAATTTTTAAATTATGCTTTCTATGTGAAAAAATAATTCAAAATTTTCAAGACAAAATAATATGTGGAAATATAACTATGGATGAAGAATTTATAAATATGCAAAATCAGATGAGGGTAAATATTCCCTCCTGTTACAATATCAAAACAAAGATCATAAAATGTTTGACTGCACGTGGAATTTTTTTTTTTTTTTTTTCAAGAAGCTTATTCAAAATAAAAAGCAGCATGAGGAAAGTTTTGAAGCTCCTGCTTTTAAAAGGAAGAAACTAAATTAGAATCTGAATCGACAGTTTAAGAAGTTTTTACTGTTCAGTTCTGTCTGTGAAAAAGTACATTAGTTATTGCTGAAAAATTGTTGCTTATCTCTTAGAACAATAGTTATACCCACGAGTAGCTGAATGGTTAAGGTTACTGAATGCTAAGAGTACATTTTCTGTTCTTTTTCTGAACATGCTGTCTGCATGGTTTTTTTTTTTTTTTTTTTTTTTTTTTTTTTTTTTTTTTTTTTTTTTTTTTTACGTATAAAGTGAATACAAGCCAGTTCTCATTAGAAAGTCCTTCACCATGAGCAGATAGCACTTTTGAGCTTTGTGATAGTCAACTAACCAAACTGTTATGAATATTAGATAATAAGCTTAACATTGGTGAAGATCTTTCTCGTAAATTTGACATGGAATATCTCTTGGTCTGCTAAATCAAATTTACTTTTGTGTGACCTTAAATCAGAGGCACCAATCGTGAATCTGTTTTGGCGTGTTTTAAGAATTATAAATGAAAAATTTATTGCTACTGTGGAAGAATGCTCAACTAATGTTTACCTTACTAATCAATTCTTATAGTATTGTAATGGCTTGCTCTGTTGCAAATTTTTCGCTAACCAGAAACTTTCAGTAGTACTGCATTTCCTTTAATTGTGTTTTTTGTTTATGCCCTTTCAGTTATAATTCTTATAATCATAGGGATAATGAAAGTATTTAATTACTTTATATTTAAGAAATAATTAAGTTTTTTTTATTTATGGTAATATTTTGCACAGATTATAAAGTAAACATTTCACAAAAGAGAGCATATATTTTCGGGAATATTGTTTAAAGTAAAAATGATATCAGTTTTTAAACATTATATATATATATTAAGAAAATAAAATCAGGCTCTAGTGTAGAATTGGGTGCCCCTTTGATTAGCGACATTTTTTTTTTTTTTTTTTAATTTTGGCAATGAAACCTCGCTTCAGGTTACCATGATAGTTTTAACTTTGTTTTAGCTTCCTTATTTAAATGAAAATAGATTGATGTGTACATGGACAAATTTAAGGCAGTGCGCAATGCCTAGTTTGTGCAATTCTAGGATGCTTTTTTAAGTGAAAACATATCGATGTGTACATGGACACAGAGTTCGTGCAATTCTTTTTTTTTCCTTTTACTTATTACATGCTCCGCCTTTAGGCACTACAGGAAAAGGAGGAATGCCCCGTGGAGGTCTTGCTAAAATCCTAGTATACGGTGCAGCCTTGGTGCAATTTTGAAAATTATCGCCAACATCAAAATGACCTGTTTAACTACTCATCGTATATGTCCCGTTTACTGCTCATCATAAAGTGGGCAAAAGTAGCCAAATCCCTTGTGCACCAGATACTAGGATTAAACTTTTAAAATCCTAGTATACGGTGCAGCCTTGGTGCGATTTTGAAACTTATCGCCAACACCAAAAATGACCCAAAGAACGTCTATGTATATACTATACACTATATACATAGTATATGCTATGTATAACTATATATATTCTTTGAATGACGCGTTTACTACTCATCATATATGTCCCGTTTTTACTGCTCATCATAAAGTCGCCAAATAGCCTGTGTGCACCGGATACTAGGATTAAACCGAGGTCTTTTTAAGGTAAACTGGCTCATATCCAAGTTACACATGGGGAAAGCCACGAAAACGCCCATGCAGCCAGCCCATTTGCCGGGATTCGAACCCTGGACCGAACTACCAGTGTTCAGCGGCTTTTACCGCTTGCCCACTGGTGGGCTTGTGCGATTCTTTGACTTCTTATTTTGGTTTTGTATAGCGGCCATTTTGAAATTGTGCCTTCCTGACGCCAATCTTGGTGTCAAAAAAGAATCGCCAAAATACAAGGGATACCCAATTGTAAACTTTTACCTAAAATCACTACTCATCATGACACCAAATTTTTTAAAATGAATTTAGATCAAGACTATGCAAATTGTAAACAAAAACCAATGCACGTATAAAGAATTCTTTATTTGATTGCAGTCTTAATGTGACATGTCAGAACACTTTTCATATTTCACATTTTATTTATTCATTAAAAATTATTATGCATTCAAGTTTGTTTTCATTTTAAACTTAGTTTTGAAAAGGCATAATAAATTATTTTCCAGAATATAATATCTGTTGTAATGTCCATAGATGGATTTATATTAAAATATAAAATTTTATTTGTTAGAAAATAATACAAATTTTCATAAATTCAACTGCTAAAGAAAAATACACAACAGTACATTTATAACAAATTTTATTACAGCATCTTTACACATATCATTATAACTGAAATCCGACACAATTTATTCTGTGTTGACACAAAAGAAATACAATGCAAGAATATAAAACTCGATCATTATAAGAAATGAACATTCGTAATATGAATCATTTATTATCTTCATAATAAATGGTTTTCTCTCCTTTTAATGCAATATTCAGGTATAGAATCCAGTACAGTTCTGTTATGGGGAAGCCATCGGCAAATTTTTTGCTAAACTCGCCAAGAGACTGGTTCATATGAAGTCGCCAATGTTTACTTCTAAAGTCATTAGAATGTTAACTTTTTTAAGAAAATGTAAAAGAATGTCTTTTCAAAATTGGCAATGAGAATGCAAATTCCAAAGATGTAATGGTCACTTGTATTTCAATCAACAGGCCTTCAACACAAGTTTCCCATATTCTATTATAAAATCTCTGGTTTCAATGATAAATGTAAGAGAATACATGTCAATATAGAATAATGACAATACACCAATGGCATTTTAGGGAAAAAAAAAAAGTTTGCTTATTATCAATAATTAAATTTACAGTTATATGAAATAAAATAAACATACCCATTACATGCATCACAAGGTAATTTGTTTAAGAAATATTTTTCCATTCTTATGATACTCAGTTTCATAATATCCACAATTATCTGGGACATTTTTTTACTTCTTCAGCACATAAAGCTCTTGCAATAATCAAAGATCTTTCCATCTATTTTATAATACTGACGATTTGTTACACAAGACACCACACTGATAAGCACAAATGTATATTACCAAATGAAGAGTTTTTGTTGAAAATAAGGAGGATGAATTATTCCAATACTTATATTTGGAATTAAATCATGCACACAATCAAGTTCTAGATATTCCTTTGTTAATCATTTTCTTTATCATTCAGGACTGATCGATATTCTTGAACAGAGTGGTGTGACAATGGATATTGCACATATTTTTTAGTCCACAAAGCACCAATTCTTAACTTCAATAAACTAAGATATATCCTATGCATTTTTACACCTGAGAGCCATTTCATGATAAA